TCACTATATATGTATGTGTCCATGACATATTGTAACATGTAATGGTGTTTCTCCTATTTTATTATTTAATACTCATTTTTATGTTATATATAATCCATATACATAAATTTTGTGTTATACAAGTGTTACAATTGAGAGTAAACAAAAAAAGCTTTTAGGCAGTTTTGGATGATGTAGTTTTTGCCACATATGCATTCATCACAGTGCAATCATAATAATAATATTAACTGCATTTGAATTGCAGATAGTATTCACATTTAGACAACAGGTTGATATATGTATGCACATTAAAACCTAAATTTTCTTTTTGGCAAGTTTCATAAATAATACCATATCTATAACACAAAATACAAACAATTCTTTATCTCAAATTAACTCTATGAAGATTCATATTACAAATTTACAAAAGTTAATATCTAGGAAAATAATATATTAATATAACAGATATCACACATTTTACATTTATTTATAAATACATACTTACTAAAAAATACAACTAAAACAAAGGCTATCATTACCCACATCCAACATCTCCAATACGATTGTGTATGCTCTTGCAATTTTAATGATTCTGTTTTTAATTTATCTGTATTAGCATCAGTTAATTTGTCAGATCTTTCAAGCGAGCTAATGTCTTTTTTTATAATAGCATTTGCTGCTAAAGCATGTTCTTTCATGCTACTAGTCATTGAAAGCATATTTTCTGCAATTTTCTCCTGAATATTTCTATTATACTTTAATAAGGCATCTAAATCATCATCTTGCATATTTGTGGAAGATAACCTTTGCCGTATACCATCCTCTAACACTCCTATAAAATAATAAATAATGATGAGAAATAATGATAAGTTTTATTAAATTTGCAAATATAATTATTTTGCTGTAAATAAAATAATATTGATATACCTTTATCATTATGAAATAATTCAGCTCGTAATTCTCTGTTATATTTTGCTGATGTTTTTTGATGTATTTGAGTTGCTATGTTTGGACCTATTGAATCATTAAATGTTGTAGAACTTTTCGGTAACATTTGTACAGCTACAACTCTATCTACTGGATTTGTAAGTTTTGTTGTATTTACTAATCCTTTCAAAAAATCTGTTCGCTTAATGTATCCTATCATGGTATCTTTAGATGATTTGCTACAAAAATCAGTTTCAATAATATTGTTATAATTTCAAATATGATGGGTTATATACAACATAGTTTACTTTATTTATAATGTATACACTATTTAAAATTTTAATTCACATTGATAAGTATATATTTTATAATAATAAAACAAAGTATCACCTTGGTAATGTTTGTAAATGTTTTATCATATCATCCAAGGCAAGGATGTACTGAAATTGACAAATTTATTTTAAATGTATTACTTTAATTTTGAAAATTATTTAAAGTACAAAAATATGTAACAAACATTCAATTTTTTTAAACCTTTTCAAGTTTCCAATCCTTATGAGGATCATCTTTTGCCATCAATTCACATCTTGTTAAAAGTCGTCTAATATTAATTTCTTCTCTGGACATTGGATTCATTTTTCAGAATTAATCAATACTTATAAAAAATGTCAATAAATGCATATTATATACGCATGATTCTTCAAGTTGATCTCGCTTGAAAATTCTTTGTTTATAAACAATCGATAGGTAAAATCAAATTTACTCATTAAAAACATATATATACCGTATAGAAAGAAATTATAAATTTATGATAAAAACACTACACCACGTAAACTATACATATACATATGTATAATGAATCATAAAGAAATTTACGCGACATTTCTCAAGTAAGTACACGTATCTATATTATTCATTCAAGTTTATATGGTATATAAGAATAATATTCAAAGATTTATATATTTTTAATTGTTGGTTTTAAAAACGTATTATAACATGAACATTATTGTAAACAATAATTAAATAAAATGAAAATTATATTTTTATTTTATATTTGTAAATATACTGCTAAAAATTTATCACTAAACGATAATAATTTCTTGTGAGTGAAACAGTACTTCTAATATATATTGCATTTTTTCATTCAACCGCAACTAACTGACTTCACAGTAGACGCCTTTATAATATCATAATAGTTATTTTGATGTATGTACATTATTATATTCTGTAGGACGTAGAAATTCTAGGATAATACACGGAATATGTAGAAGAGGGACATAGAAAGTTTAAAACGTACAAATATAGATATTGCGAGAAACACGATAGTCATAGATAGTGATTGACGTTGGCACACATCATTTGGGGGGCCGATCCCAGTGCATTTCTTGGTAGATTGACAGAATCGTTAAGATGGCTGATATTAAAGAATCTCCGCCACTTTTTGACACTAGCGAGGCGAAAATCGACGATTTAGATGACGACGATGAAGATATTTTTGCATCGGCAGTACAGGTATTTTTTTTATTATTATCTGACATGTGCGTAAAAATTTTACAACCTAAGTATAATTTTTCGAAGTTCACTTGTTTTTGTAATGAATCTAACATTTATACTTGTTGTCAAGAAATAATTGATTTAAAAATTCGTGCTATACTCCTTTATAATCTGTTTTAATATAAAATTTAATATTGTTTAAATGTAGGATCAAAGTCAATTAGAAGATTCTTCTCCATATAATGGAGTATCAACTATTCCAGCAGAATTACCAAAGTTGAGCTTACGAGATGCACCAGAAGAAAATTCATTTTCGTCAGTATCGAGTCCTGCACCAGGACCATTAAGTTCACCATTAGGACCAATGACTAGTGATATAGGTGATCTTCATGATGTTCCCATAAACGATAATGTGGATGTTCTTTCGACAAGTGTTATGCAGATTCAGTCAACTGATGTGGTATATTGTAGATTATTAAATGTTAATAATAGAAAAGTGAAAAATATGTAATGTCATGATGTTTATTTTACAGGTATCAGCAGATTCACCTGATATTTTTCTAAAAATCACAGTAACTTCTCCTCAGAAAATAGGTGATGGAATGGGTGCTTATGTTGCTTATAAGGTTGAAACAAAAACAAATATGCCAATATTTAGAAAGAGAAATTTTAGCGTTATTAGACGCTTCAGTGATTTCCTTGGCCTTCATGATAAGTTAACAGATAAATATCTTAGGAATGGCAGAATAATTCCTCCTGCACCAGAGAAAAGTGTCATTGGTATTGATATAAATATTTTCAATTTATATTCTTTTATCATATTGTTCAATAAAATAAATGAGACAATTATATAATTAGGAACAACCAAAATTAAAATGTCAGGTGACAAGAGTCAAGAACAAAATTCTAGTTCTACAGAATTTATTGAAAAACGTAGAGCAGCACTTGAAAGATATTTGAACAGAACTGCAGCTCATCCAGTGCTTAGTGTTGATCCTGATTTTAGAGAATTTTTAGAAGCTGGTAAACTACATCTGCACTTAGTGGTAAAGGAGTTATGAGGCTCTTTAACAAAGTTGGAGAAACTGTTAATAAGATAACATACAAAATGGATGAAACTGATAAAGTAAATTTTTAAAGTTTTTAATAGCTCTTATACTATATTACATTTATTTATGAATTTTATTTAGTTTTGTTTCAGTTACCTTCTTAATTATAATGGAAATTTAAAGATTTAAATTTATATAGTGTACATTGAAATATACAAAAGAAATATGTTTAATTTTTCTCATTTTTAGTGGTTTGAAGAGAAAACATCGCAAATTGAGTCTCTTGATGTTCAGTTACGTGCATTACATTCTGCTGTCGATACTTTAACCAATCAGAGAAGAGAATTAGCAACATGTACAGGTGCAAGTGCAAGATCAATTGCAGTTCTTGGTCATGGAGAACCAGGAGCATCTCTTGGAAGGGCATTAGCTCAGTTGGCTGAGACATTGGAAAAAGTAGAGGTGATAAGAAGAGCACAAAGTAATAGTGATCTCTATCAATTTGGAGAAATGTTAAGAGATTATGTTGCACTTATTGGCGCAATAAAGGTTAGTGATCAATTTATATTCTATATATTTATATTTCAATAATTTCAAATATTGGCAATTGTAGGATGTGTTTCATGAACGAGTAAAAGTTTTTCAAAATTGGCAACACGCTCAAATGATGTTAAATAAGAAACGAGAACAGAAAGCAAGATTAGAACAATCTGGAAGAACTGACAAAACAAGTCAAGCTGCTACTGAAGTAATAGAATGGGAATCAAAAGTTGACAGAGGACAAGAAGAATTCGACAATATTTCAAAAATGATTAAAAAAGAAGTTGAACGATTTGAATTAGTAAGAGTGGATGACTTTAAGAAACAACTAACAGAATACTTAGAATCCATGTTACAATATCAAAATCAACTTATTAAATATTGGGAAAGCTTTTTGCCTGAAGCACGAGCAGTCGCATGAACATTCCCGGAGTAATATTAAATTTTTTTTATTGTAAGGAAAAAATCTATTAAAAAAAACTTTCATGCAATTTTTTGAAGCAATCTTCTGATGAATAAGTAACATTTTGTGATGAACATATATTTATCATCTTGTGGTACAATAATGTTCGTATAATATAGTGAAAAAAATAACACTTTATGCGAATAATCAGAAAATTCATAAACAATAATTTTGAAATACTACCAATGCTTTTACAAATTTAAAAGCATCCAAAAATGTGGCATATTTCATTCAAATTCTTAGATATTCATTTTATGCCGTTTATTCTTGAGTGTATCATGCGTTTACAGTCTTCTTACTAATAGTTTATGTTAGAAGTATCTAACGCATAATACCATTTGTTAAAAAATGTTATATGATAATAAAAATTGATTAAGATTGTAAAAATAGAGAATATTAAATATCTATTTGTTAAAACAGAATCTAATTATATACTTAATATTAAACTTATGATTTTTTGTATTATTTTCACAATAGTAAATAGGCA